GTTGTAGCAGTTTTACAAAAAGTCATAATATTTCTGGTACTGAAATCGTGCATCATAATTTTATAAACGTACACAAATTCGATAAATTTAGAAAGTAATTTCTTAGCTCTTACTCACATCCGCCAATTTTTTTTGTGGGACAAAATGCATCCCTGGTGGGGTATAATTTTACCCCTTGTGGGGTATAATTTTACCCCTTGTAAAATTTCTATGGTTGGGTTTGAATTTTATGCTTAGTTACACTCAGTGAATTATTATATTTGTGAGTTTATTTTTCCTGTTGTAGGCAAGAATTGATGTATCATTTTTTTTTTTTTGTAATATTATCTAAATATGTTATTGATTAAGGAATTCTTTATTTTATAATATTTTCAGATTTATTGTAAAGATATTCTTTTATTTCTTAATGCTTAATGTATACTTAAAATTTTTCAAAATTGGATTTAATCTTTACAAAACAGACAATAAGTAACAAAGACGAGAGATATTTTTTGTTTCATTCTATGTTTTAAAGCCACAAATATGTGTTTCTTACACATCTATGTGGCTTCAAACCCAGATACATATTTGGTTTATATAGATTGTACATTTATTGATAATTACGACGCATTCAATAATTACTGAAGCTTAAGTGGATAGCCCTAGACTTATTACGCTATGATCAAATATCATTTAAATTAAAGGGGAAAATTAATAATCTTACATCACTTTGACAGATTTGATGGGTATTTTTTTTTATTTATGGAAAAAAGTTAAAGAATGACAGAAAAAAACATCTCACGTAATTATTGGACGCTCCCTTATGTTTTATAAACTTGTGTAAATCTTTTTTTTTTATTAATCTTTTTGCAAAAATGTTAAGAAAAAAAAAATCCTTTTGCCAGTATTTTGTTAATTTAAGAAAGTGCCATGTTTGGATGCACAAGTAGATTTGTAATAAATAATATATAAATATATAGTGCATATATTATGTATGTGTGTGTGTTTGTATGTAGATGTAGGCGTGTGGTGTCCATAGGGTCTCTGGGTAAATATAAATGGTACTTTGTATATTGTACTGCAATATGTTGGTCTGCATGTTCTCCATATACAATACAAACAATTTTTAGACGCGAACAGATGGAATTAGTCGTATTTTTTTTACCCACGAGTAGTAAAAACCGAACCGAATACGGATAAATTTGGTTTCATAATCTTCGTGTTGCATTTTGAACTGGAATCTGGACGAAATCCTTTGTAATGTTTTGGTTACAACACTAATATAGATAAACCTAAAGAGAAAACCCTTACCTAAATACAAAACTTGATCCAAATCGTTACATTACTTTCCGAGATATACGAAAAAAACTGACATACGAATATTGCCAGTTTAAAATGTGATAATTCTAATCCACAAATATGGCGACGATGCATATCACCATATTGTAAAAAAGCAAGCTTTAATTTGTTACACGTTTTGGTACATAGCATATTGTTAATATAATAAATATAGATTTGCTAACATTTATATTTAAGCACACACTATCTTTGTAAGACCCCCTCTCTAATTTGGAAGGGGGGGGGGCCAATAGACATGGAACAAAATCTCAGTGAACTGTGATTTATCATCCGATTTTTGTGTACGTTGGCTAGTGTTGCTAGGTTGGTAAATCTAGTAATTTTTTTAAAATAATTACTAGATTTACTTTTAAATAGGCGAAATAGGGTCTTTATGCATCGGCTGAAAACAGTTTATTGGCAACAACGCGTAAGTGGTAACGGATTAAGATTACAGAGTGTCACCACCCCTATTTATTCCGTGGGTGTCGTAAGAACCGACTAAGGGAGAAAACTACCCAGAACAACAGCACTGCAGAGAGAAGGTAACCGTCTGGCCAGCGTGGTATAGTTGGCCAAAGCATCCTTTCTAAGGAGAGGCTTATGTCCAGCAGAGGACTTAGGCTGTTGATGAAATCACCGGTCATTCACAGTTCACTTGGATTTTGCCCCATGCCTATGGGGCAATGCAACGCTCATGTGGTTTTTGAGTTGCGGGGTTCATAGGCGGCAGTAAACATTTACCATCAGGTGCCCATTTGTTAATCATACAGAAAGTTAAAGAAAGGGGTCCTTTTAGAAAAGTTGTGGTAGATTTTGGAAATAAAATAAAGCACTAACAATTTGAAAAAATGGAGTAATTTTTTTATACAGGAATTCTTTTCGAATGTGACAAATTGAGCATGAAAATTGGCTGTTATAGCTTATATCCAAATTCATGAGGCTGCGAATAATAAATAGGTATTTAATCATAATAATGTTGATTTGAAGGTCCAGAATATTTCTGAAAATGTTTTAAATAAAAAAAAAAAATTAAAAATGTGCAACAACACAGAGAAATATATAAAACTAAGAAAAGAAATCCAAAAATTATTTTCTTTTTAGGCAAAATTTATATAATAAAAATATTTCGGACATCTAACCCACCGCCATCTAGTTTCAAACTAAGCAAAGCTTGTACTATAAAAGCTAGATTGACTAATACCCGTGATACTTTTCTTTGGAAATATATATATATACATATTATAAATAGAAAACACACAAACTCCGAAACAAATATCTGCAGATCATTCAAACATTTGGTTGCAAACACTGCACCACCGATGATTTGTCTACAACTGTGATTATACGTGAGAGACGCTGCATACATGCTTAAGAAAGCTTTTCAAAGAGTTAATACAGTTACCCGCCCCACAAAGCAAATGGCGACTCTTAAAAAAAAAAAACATTAAAAAATTATCCTAGTCTTTGACAACCTCTTGACGCCTTTCTTACATTCTGTATAGTCTATTCCATATATTACACCTACCATAAACTCTTAAGTATTTATCCTCTAAGATGTTGGTCGCACCGCTACGCCTCACTGGTGAGTCCACGGAGAATAACCATGATAGGAATTCGCTCGACAAATTGTACTTCAAACTAAAACTACTAAAGCAATGTTCAAAATACTTTTTTCATAAGTTTCGATCTCAAAAAGCCTCTCCTAATCTTGAAAATGCTGTTTATTTAATAAAAATAGTTCTACTGGGTATATTTTACCCTTAGGTCAAATATACCCCACAAAGGTACAAGTGACTATGGATGGGTACATTCCACTATTATACCGACCAAGTATACATATAATCATTTGGAACAAATTGACCCTAGTAGGGTAAATAACTAGACCATTCGGCAATTATATAAAATATGTATTTTCTAAACATTATGCCTGGGCCTCAATTCTGCTATTTTATGTTAACGCCAAGCCACTGTCATTCCATTGACACACTATTGAGACGCCATTGACATCAGTCACAATATCGGTATTCTACTAACATAAATTCAGTGTCAATAGACTGTCGATGTAGTAATATAGGTCATCAATGGTGATATCAACAACATTACCATATCTGGAAAATTAAATATATCATTTTCTTAACCAAACTATTACAAAGACATCGACGACATTTGTATCAGTGACAAGTCATCCATTGGTCTTACATAGTTAGTAGAATAGGAAAAGTGCGACGACATTCCATTGACAGTCTATTGATACAATATAGAAATATCAGAATTGAGCCCCTGGTACCTGGTTGCCTGGACAACCCTTTTGGCCAGTGTGGTATAGCAGGCCAAAACCTCCTTTCTAAAGAGAGCCCTATGTCCAGCGGACTATTAACAAGGCCGTTGATGTGATGCCTAAATCAAGTAAATACTAGTGTCGAAATAGCACAGACCTGTTATAGCAATAATAGTTTTAAGCTTTTTCCATGTCTGGTATGAAATATTTATTTTTTAGTGGTTTGAGTTGAAGGTGTCCGTGGGCGACGGTCGTCACTTACCATCGGGTGACCCGTTTGTACTGTACTCTGGCCCGCACATAACAGTTCCTTATCTAGCATTATCCTGGATATTATATAGGATTCTATTATTTCTAACTTTACATAACTTTTCTACTAGATATGGAAATAATCTTAAGAACCAATAATTTTTTACACTGATGTTCTAACGCACTAGATTTTTCGCACGCCTGTGCAAATTAGTATTGTGTAGTGGTAAAAACGTGTTGTCTCGCTCCAACGTTACACATTATGACGTTATAGAACGAGGCAAAATGTTTATATTATGTGTGATTAAATTACGTGAACAAAGCCACAAGTGCTGTACGGCTTTTTACGTAATTTGAATCTTATTATTTGGCTAGTAAATTGTATATTAAGTTGTCATAAATAAAAAGAGGGATCGTTTTTATTTTGTTTTATTTCTAATTCAAGGAATACTTACAATTTAAAAAACAATTACTAAGTATTTTATGGGTAAAATACATACAATAATATACCTTCCCTTTTTTATGTTGTCTACCTACGTATTTTTTTCTAATATACAAGTTTTAAAGAGCTAGGGGTAAATTTTGACCCATTATTGTTTTTTCTAAGCAGATGATTTAGATGGTGCATATGTAACATATATACAAAATTGCCAGCTATAATATTAAACAATTAAAATAGTTTTTACTCTCTTTGTCTTACAGAAAATAAGATTGCAATTCCCTCACAAGTATAAGTTTATAAAATAACAGCTATTAAAATACTATTTATTTCGATACAGTTTAAGTTATTATGTTAAAGAAACGAGCGAGTTTTTCATCCGTCGCATATGCTGTGTAACATTTAACATTAATTACATAGCGCGCTATTCCGGTTTCCTGTTACACGTTTCCGTCCCTTCCACAGATTGCATCAAAGTGAGAGACAGTTATTATTTTTACCCTTGTGGGTAAAATGAGGGTATAAAAATAAAACTTAGTTAAAACAAATATAGGTGCACACTTTGTGCAAGTGAGGTATAATAAAAATGCATTTTTTTTTATAATATTTGAAAAAATATCTAAACTACGACTATTAACAAATTTTTTTTTTGTCCTGTCATCTAAAAATGCAATTCAGTAATTTTTGAGTCGTTTCATCCCGTGTGTAGGTCTCTTAGTTTTTCCTGAAAAAAAGTATATTTGTTTTATTATGTAAATATTTTCTTGCAGACACTTACATGTCAAATCTACCTGGTTTCAGCATTTTTAGTCAGTTCAGTTTTCTTTTCGAGTGTGAGTATGTTTGTATATTTCTTTGGCGTGCTCTGTAGCCTGAACGGCGGTAGTTGGTGTTTGATTTGACGGGCTGAGAACCATAGTGGTACAAGTATCAATAAAGATAATTTGAGAAAAAACGTTTTTTGTATATATTTTTGACATCATTTTACATAGGGATTGTAATAAAATACATCATGTATCTTTAATCGAATTTAATGTTTTACATATAAAATGTAATGGAAATTACAAATATTTCCATATGAAAATTAAAATACAAAATCACTTATACCGTTATGGCATACAGACTAATATAAACTATTTACTTATATCAGTATGGCACATAACAATTACTTACTTCTTTGCTTACACTTAAATCAGTCGAAATATAAGGAAATGATAACAAACAATGCTAAGAGGGATCTTTTTTAAATTTTGTTTCTTGTAATATATTTATTCGTCTAAAGTATAATCTAAAACACTTTCTTCATCGGTTTCGTTCAAGCTATTTTGTCGAGGTCGACCTCTTGCGCGACTTGTAGAGCTGGATTGTTTGTTAAAATTCTCATCGCTTTTTAATGCATTATAAAATGTATGATGTACTGGTGGAATGAATTTAAGGAGTTCCATTAAATCTTTGTATTTATCAGATTTTATTTTTATTTCGTTGTCCCGAAGTTTGGGAAGGATTTTCGGAATTATTCCTTTTTTGGCATCCATTTGAACGCAACGAAATGGCGAGTCATCCAGTGACTCTTTAAAGTACATATTCTTTGGTTTATCTTTTAGAAACCTCATCCATCTTATTTTTAGCCAATTTATTTTATTTTTAGCAGTGTCTATTTTTCTATTAATAATTACTTTTGAAATAGGATCTGTAGAAATGAAATCGTCTTGTTGCATTCTATGAACTTTAAATTTCTTGCGCGTTTTTTCAACTAAATTCATCCAGTCTTCAGGGACATAGATATGCTGGGTTTTCTTTTTCTGTTTTTCTATATGAGAAAAATCGGCGTCATTTTCTAAGTAACTGTGCCCAGATACCATAAATTTATGATCTACCGTAGCGATGTGCGTATGGGCTACGATATACATCCAAAGTCTGCAAATTATTTGATTACGATTTTGACCACCGCAACTGTCACTATATGCAACTAAGTGGTTGAAGTCTTTAGGAACGACATTATTGACATACTTTAATAGACAAGAAGCTATTTCCGATGCTCCTCGAGATGCAATGTTCTCACTCCACATGTACATGTGTGCATCGCCAGTTTTACAGTCATGAATCCCTAAATTGTAGGTCCATAACTGGCGTTTGTAATACACCAGATTTGTTTGTAAGTAAGGAGTAGGTAATGTTTTTTCTAAATCAAATGTGAATAAATTAACTGTTTTATCTTGTTTATCCTTATGTTTACTTTCTCTTGTTCTTTCAACGTCTAATAAGTGTTTTGTTTTTTCTTCCTTGATATTTTGCCGCTTTTCTGCATTTTCTTCACATTTGTATAGATTCTCTAGCCTGTCACATGTATTACACGTATCACTTCGTAATTTGTAAAATCCAAGATTGAATTCGTTATTAAATACTTTTCTGTATATTTGGTCCTTAACTGGCTGTTTGCCCTCGGAAATAACTTTTTCTTTGTATAAAGAATACATTTTTGCCACTGATAACTCAGGTGAAAGGTATCTTTTAAAGGGTGCATCCTCGCGTGAATAGTGGCTTTTAAATTTTGGAAAACTTTTGATGTGTGCCCGTATGTCTTGCAATTTGTCTTCATTGGTTTTATTACCGGGTTCATGTTTACCACGTTTGTCATATACAGGTAATCCTGTGATTGGAGTTTTAGTAAAAGCAGCGTTGGTAAATCTTCTATTAGAAATAGTCAACGCTTTCAAAAAAAAGTCTTTACATACTCTTTTAGTATTTAATATTATTACCGTACTTACTTTCTTCTTGCTGATTGAACGTTTCGGTTTCTGTATTTGAACACAGTATCTTATAAAATTTGTTTGTGCTTCCCAGCTTCCTAAATTCCAATACTCCGAATGAATTGTTTTACGCTCGCTTTCAGTAAAACTGTTGCATTGGTATCGGCAAACATGATTAAATGATTCCAAAACCTTAGCAGGTACTGTCTTGCCTTTAGTTGACACATACTCTTTTCCTTCATTTCGTCTCTGTTTTCTTATATTCTTCTTCCAGGTACTGATGTTCTTTTGTCTCTTTCGTGATTGTTTAGAAGTTTGTGTAAATGAATCTTCATCAGACTTTGCTTGCGAAATTGGAGGTGAATCGGGGATAACTGGCGGAGATCCAGTTGGCCCCTGTACAGTTGGTGAGATTGCGAATTGAATTATCTTGACTGGCTGGGAAGTAGATTGTATTTGCACAGTAGGTGGAGTAGCAGGTGGTATTAGCACATCTGGCGGTGACATGGCTTGGACTAGGTAATCTTCATCAAATTGTTCTTGTAAAATGGAAGGTGAATCGGGCAAACCTGGCGACTGACAATGACTTGTGGGAGACCTAACCAGCACGCCTATAACTGGCGATATTGCAGGTGGCACAGACTTATCTTGAGGTGATTCGTATGGGGTTGAGGCAGCTGAAACGTCTGTGATTGGCACGACTGGAGAAGAGAAGGATGCAATCGGTAACAAGTTCGGTGATGTTTGTACAATGAAATCAACTTCATGTCCTCTTTTTCTATTCTGAATTTTTGAAATATTTGAGTATTTATTAACTTTTTTTGGACTCGGTTTCCAAGTAACATCTACAACAAAGACATGAAAATATAGTAGTATTTATCTACCAACTGTTACAAGTGATGCCTACACATAAAACAATATGTTAAAATATTGAACCAGACCGGTACAAGTAACATGTAAACAAAACTTGACGATAAATTGATTTATAATAGTTGCGCGCAAGTAGTGATTAATTTACTTTAAACTTCATAATCATACACACACGCCAAAAAATATTTACTATACAGAGAAAGCGTTTTGTGACTTTTGTCTCACCTAAAATGTGTACAATTCAATTCCATACAAAAAGTATGAAAAGTAAAGTTATGCATCGTGTCAGATTCTTATTAAAATTTATTATGACCTAACTAGGTTTTAGTCAATATTTTACACAGATAACATAGTAGGATCTAAATATATTACGTACCTTCCACAGAATCATCGCTGTCTTCCAAAAAGCTAATTATTTTTTCGTTATTTAAAACCTTGTTAGCGCGTCGCTTCGCCATTTTGTTGTTTTAATCACTTATACCTTTATGGTTGTAACGAACTTACGTTAGTACTAAGACTGGCAGTTATCCCAGCCAACGCACAGATGGAGCTGTTCACAAAATCATTTGCATCGGTTTAGCATACTAAATATATGCACATGACAGATGGTTTACCATACTTAGATCACATTTTTAAAATTTGTCACTTGTACCATTATGGTTCTCAGCCCGTCATTTGTAGTTGTAAATGTAAATAATAAACATGAATATCACCAGATTGCAAACCTAGGGGTAACAGGTGAGGCTTCTGTTACCCCAGACGGCGTGCAGTTTTTAGTCGGTTTGAGTCCGACATAACCCCATGGGTGGGTGATATCCGAGAGTATTTCCGTACAGAAAAAAAAGGGTCAGGGATATAGGGCCAACCGCAAGTCTCTGATAGGCAACAAGGCTGAGACTACAGTACCTCAATAATGACATTAGTCAATTTGCGTGACTAGTGCTTTCTCTTTCGTACGAAACGATAATTTCTCGGCACCCGATTGGTCAGGGGGCGGGGCTTGATCGATGCGTCACTATTTTCTTAACGCGAATAAATAATAAATCGTTCATTTGCCATTAAATTATTACATTTTAAATTCCCTTAATTCATATATATATAGTACATTATTATGTTCGAACATTTCACCAACTATAACTTTTACAGGTAATTAAGTAAGGGAAGATTAGCGATCAACTCCACACTAGGTCTAGCCAGTCTCGTGGAATTTTTAGGTGGTATTGCCGATTTTATATTAAATTTAGATTTAAATATGTTTTAAAATTCATCTCGGATTGGAGAGGGCACAAGAAGAGGGCCTTTATAATAATAATAATATTCTTTATTGACATAAATATTGTGCAATTACAACAGGATTCTCTGACACCAGCGCTAGTACATACTGTGTGTGTGTGTGTGTGTTTATATTTAATGGCTGTGTGTTATAAATTTAATGTCTACAATTGTACACACTACAGGTGTATATATTTACCTTAAGTTCTCGATAACTAGCTTTTCAGATTTGTACAAGTTCCCAACGATTATCTGAAATAAAGGATTTTATAATATTAATTTGTACATGTATAGTGTGTTGGATAAATTTGTTGGTGAAGTTGGTAGATCAGGGGCACATTTAGTACATCAACAGCCTTTAACAGTCCACTGCTGGACATTGTCCGCTCCTTAGAAAGGAGATTTTGGCCTACTATACCATGCTAGCCAGACGGGTTGGTATAGGGTTTGTTTCAAGTTTTTCTTCTCTTTGCAGTGCATACATATAGTTTATACATATAAATATCAAAATATAATACGAAGATAGGAAATATACTCTTAAGGTGTTATACTGATGACTCCGTCAACAAGTCTCTGTAGAGCTTCCATACTTTAAGCTTAAAAGTGTATCGGTCAGTGGACATCCTGATTTCTTGTACATTATCTTGTTTGTGGCCATGGTTCATAATGCTTACTATTTTAGTAGGTACTTAATCTTGGATAGTTGCAGAAAACATTTATTTACCTGTCGCCTTATGACGTCCAAGTTATCCACTCCTAAATTATACTGAGTGATCCTTTCTTTTTTATCTGTGAGCTTTTGATTTGTTCTGAAACTGTCTCGCACTTTTCGCAACGCATACGCCCTGAAAATAGTAAAATGGCATAATAAATCAGTTTTCTTTTGAACATAACTCAAGCCAAACTCAAACTCTCTTTATTTCATAAAATTCTCAAAATTGTTTGAAATCGTCTTTTATGTAGACTCTAAAGTCATAGATCAACACACACAAAAGCAACAATCTCTGTTTTGTCAAATAGTAAGTTTAACATTTAACAAAAATCAAACCCATACAAAATCTATGATATGCCTGTGCCGATCCACAACCGCCCATTTCCAAGGGGTTCAGCCTTATGAGAAGAAAGGGTAAACAAACTCATGGCCCGAATTCCTCGAATACAGAAAGTGACCGGTGGGCGGTGGCCGTTACCAGAACGGCAAGTGCGAGTTTATTTCACTTTTATTCGATTCAGGCCGGCACTGAAATCTTCACCAATATATTCTATATTCTACCACATACACACAACGCCATCTAGTCCCAAACTAAGCAGAGCTTGTACTATGGCTACTAGACAACTGATAAAAATACATATATATATTTTTTTTGTAAATACATACATATTATACATAGAAACACCCAGACCAAATCAAACATCAAATGTTCATGCACACAAATGTTTTGACTTGAGCGGGAATCGAACCCGCAACCAATCGCAACACTCGCCGTCGAGAGCGAGTCGATGTGAAATAAACTTGCACTCGACCCTCAAGACCTCAAATTAGTGCTCAGTTAAAGTGCTGGCATAGTGACGTCAGACATAAATACTCATCATCAACATCATCATCATCAACAGCCTTTACTAGTCCACTGCTGGACATAGGCCTCTCCTTAGGAAGGAGGTTTTGGCCTACTATACCACTCTGGCCAGACGGGTTGGTATAGGGTTTGTTTCAAGTTTTCCTTCTCTCTGTAGTGCTGTTATCCAGCGTAGTAGCTTCCTTAGTCGCCTCTTACGACACCCACGGGATGAATAGGGGTGGTAACACTCTGTATTCTTAATCCGTCACCGCACGGAGGCATAAATACTCATAAAGTTATATTATAAACAAACAAGTCTTACATTAAATTTAACTATGTTGTTAAAGGTCATACTTAATTTAAATTGCTGATAACTCTGAAGTTTATCGGTTTACTAACAGTCATAAATTATTATGTTAGTTACCCAAAATTTCTGATAAGAGATAACAGGTCATAGTTTAAATATTCTGAAGTATACAACAGAATACAGTTCTTATTTAATTTACAGCATATTAATACACATATTATTTTTGAAGTGAAAAATTCTTTAGGGGCGTTGTACACTTTTTTTGTAATGGGTAAAAAATGTTATGGTAAAAAACTTAGAAACAATAAATACTTTTTACCAAGACTTAAATGATGCCATACAAGAATACACCCACAAAAACCTTATAGTAATGGGAGACTTCAACGGCCAAATTGGAGCAAGACGCCCAGGTGAAAATACAATATTAGGTCCATTTTCATATAGCAACAAGTCTAGGAGCAGGAATGGGGAGAAAATTACAAACTTTGCGCTAGAAAATAACTTATCAATCCTAAATACCATGTACAAAAAAAAAACAGGTATAAGATGTGGACTTGGATCTCCCCCGATGGCAAGACAAAAAATGAAATCGATTTTATTATGACAAATAGAAGTAGCTATTTCACCAACTTTACCGTCATTAAAAGATTCAATTTTAACACCAACCATAGGCTAATCAGAGCTGAACTCAAAATAAAGCAACCAATAAAGCCGAACCCAAGACAAAACGTAGGAAATACAAAACTCAGCAAGCAGCAGCTAGAACAAATAACAATCGCTCTAAGATTCAAATTTACAGACTTTGAGGAAAAAACTACCAATTTAGCAATCCAAGAAAAATACAATTACATAGAAAATATTATTAAAACTCAGACAAAACTCGTAATGAACACCAAAACTGAAACAACAAATATGCTATCAACAAACACTATAAAACTACTACAAGACAGAAACCACCTTTTTAGCGCAAAAACCGCTCAAAATAGAAGAAAGGAAATTGTCAAAATTAGCAAAGATATCAAAAAAAGCATTAGGAAAGATAGGAAACAGCGGAGGATGGAAACGATAGAAAATTACATACTTCAAACAGGTGGAATCAAAAAAGCGCTCAAGGAATTGACAAACACAAAGGACTGGATTGTAAGAATGAAAAATGAAAGAGGAAAATGGAACCGCAACAGAACAGACCTATTAGAAACAGCTTCATCATACTACAAAAAACTGTACAGCAACGACACTACGCAAAGCAAATTAGTACTGGTAGATCCCTCGAATATTCCTAATATCCTGCACTCTGAAGTCAGGCAAGCTATTGACACCCAACAAGAAATGAAAGCACCCGGACCCGATGGCATAAACAATGAAATTCTAAGACACAGCAAGGGCACCCTAATACCTGTTCTCGCAGATATGTACAATGACATCATAAATACTGAAACTATTCCCCAACAATGGACAGAGTCTAAAATCATCCTACTGTATAAGAAAGGTGACAAACATGATATAGGAAACTATCGCCCTATCAGCCTTATGTCTAACGTATACAAGATTTTCGCTAAGATTATCTTAAAACGAATCGAAATAACGTTAGACGAACACCAACCGATGGAGCAAGCAGGATTCCGCAAAGATTATTCGGTACTCGACCACATCCACGTAGTGCGACAAGTTCTAGAGAAATACAACGAATACCAGCTAACATACTACATCGCGTTTATCGATTACAGCAAAGCGTTTGATTCTCTACTGCACGGAAAAATATGGGAGGCTCTACTAGAACAAGGAATCGAACACAAATACATCCGACTTATAAAAAACATCTACAGTCGCAGCACAGGAAGAATCCAACTAGAAAGGAAAAGCGCTCCTTTCAGAATTGAAAAAGGCGTTAGACAGGGGGATCCCCTATCTCCTAAACTTTTCTCCGCAGTACTGGAATCAATTTTCAGAAGACTTAATTGGAAACGTCTCGGTATTAACGTAAATGGTGTATTGCTGTCACACTTGAGGTTCGCTGACGATATAGTGCTATTTGCCAAAACACCAGAAGACTTAAATAAAATGCTAGGTGAACTTGCGACAGAAAGTGCGAAAGTGGGACTGGCATTGAATCCGGATAAGACTAGAGTGATGACAAACGGAAACAATCACACTATTAAATTAGGGAACACCGAAATAGACTACACTGACGAGTACATCTATCTAGGTCAGCTTATAACGCAAAAAGAACCCATGCGTAAGGAAGTGGAGAGAAGAATTACGAATGGCTGGAAGAGATACTGGAGCCTGAGGGAGGCTATGAAAGACAAAAAACTCCATATAAACTTAAAAAGTAAACTGTTTAACACCTGCGTACTACCTGTTCTGACGTACGGATGTCAATCATGGGTGCTAAATCATGAAACATTATACAAACTAGCAACTTGTCAGTACGCAATGGAAAGGAGTATGCTAAATATCAGAAAGTCTGACAGACTGAAAAACTTTGTCATCAGAAGCAAAACAAAAACTACAGATGTTACAACGAAAATCAAAAGACTGAAATGGAGATGGGCTGGCCACGTGATAAGAGGATGCGACAAATGGAGTCAAAGGGTGACCCAGTGGTATCCCAGAGAAGGCAAGAGGAAGAGAGGTAGGCCGCAAAAAAGATGGGACGATGACATTAGGCAAGTGGCCGGAGTCATGTGGAACAGGGTGACACAGGAAAGGAAAGAATGGAAAAGGCTGGAGGAGGCCTTTGCCGATTGGCAAACAGATCTAGGAATGATAACCAAGCAACAGATATTAGCTTAAATAGTTTATTTAGTTTAAGAGTCCAGTGTTATTATAAGTTTAAACCCATTGTAACTAGTTAAGAGATCTGAATAAAAGGCTATATTATTATTATTATAAAAAATGTTAAACTAGCGTCAGGACACGTGACCTAATCGAAAATTCGTAAGACGAAAACTTCTTTAGCGGTGTTGTACACATAAATATTGTATTCTACCACATAAATGATAGTACTTTTATACTGATAATTAAAGCAATTTGTGCAAAATTATTCCCTAACCATTCCAAAATATCAAAAATGCACAATGTTAATATTCAAGTTTTCACTTCTGCCGGCACTCCAGGAGTGCAACCCATCGTTTTTTTATACTTTTTTCATCCTTATTTCAAACCAGGTTGGGGTCGGCTTTTTTACATGGAGCGACTGCCATCGCACCACCAAAACTAGGGGATATCAGAGTTCTGTAGATAAACTATTGTCAGACTTTTTAGGATTACAACTACCCATAACTGTTGCCACAGATGTTCTTATGGCATGAAGTACGGAAGGGGTCTCAAAATGGAGTCATCCATCCATAGATTCACAGGTGAAAATTGCTAAAATTTGCAATGTGCTATCCTATGGCCTCCCATAATTAAAATTTTAACTATATCTACATTAGACAGACTAGTCTATTTATCGAACTATCACACTAATGCTTGATGTAGGGATCAGCAAAATGTAAAATGTAGCTATATTACCCACAACCCACATCACACATCAATGTAGTCCACTGCTAGACACAGGCCTCTCCTTAGAAAGGAGGTTTTCGGCTACTTTACCACGCTAGCCACACAGGTTGCTATAGTTTGTTTCAAGTTTTCCTTCTCTTTGCAGTTCTGTTGTCCTACATACTTTGCTTCCTTAGTCGTCTCTTATGACACCAAATGGATGAATCGAGGGGGAGTAATCACATCAATTGTGTGTCAATCCATACAATTGCTCACAATGTTAAATTTAACTCTAATTGCTAAAAGAAAGAAAACTTTGCCCAAAATGACTGCTAAATCAGACAGAATCTCTGTACTAATGTGTACAAGAACTCAGTGAGATTAGTGAGATCGTGAAGGACAGTAGTCTAAATAGAAAATGAAGACGGATGAAATTGAGGTAATAGAAAACCTTATTGAGAATAAAAACGATGAAGTAATACCATGCACTAATTAGCATAATCATTCGTAATATATTAAGTCAATAAAACATCTTTTCATTTTATAGGTTATATAATTTTAACTTATTTAATATTTTACCTGAAGTTGTAATTCGGGAACTTCTCTGATTCTCTTATAAGATTTTTGTATAACGTTAAAATGGACCGCCTTGAAGGTGATGAAGCCATTTTTATATTATTTTTTACATGAAATTTTACAGCGGCTGACCGATTGACGGACAAAAGTAAATATTTTCGTAACGTTAGGTTTTACGTTTATTTCAATTAAACAGAAATTTGATTTTATTTTTATTTAATTTGTGAATTATACCGTATGTTTCTTAGTTCAAAATAAGTATTTAAATAAATAGTTTCATATTTATTATCCCTTCGTGATTTTTTCATATTTTAGAACTTAATTTTTAAAATTTTAAAAGAAATCTTGTTGTGAATTTTCTGAAAATGCGTGTAAAGGATTGTAACAAATATGTTGCTGTAATGTACATAATTTGAAGTTCAAAATGGTTTATTTGAAACTGTATTTCTAATGATTGAGAAAATAATTGATACAACTGAAATTTTTATTTATATATATAAATATATTTCATTGCCTATTTATGTTTTGTTGGTTTATGTTAGTTTCGAGCGTGTGCTTTGATGTGGCCAACGTATAATAATCCACTGAGGCTTCAGTCCACTGCTGGACATAAGCCTCTCCTTAAAAAGGAGGTTTTGGCCTACTATATCACGCTGTCCAGACTGGTCGATATAGAGTTTGTACCAAGTTTTCCTTCTCTCTGAAGTGCTGTTGTTCTGCGTAGTTTTTTTCCTTAGTCGACTCTTACGACACCTACGGGATGAATAAGGGGTGGTGACACTCTGTATTCTTAATCCGTCACCACAAGGACCTTGCGGTTTACATATTATAAAATTCGTTGAGTAATTTGTTTGCAAAAACTCATCAAGAGATAGATCTTTGCTAAAGCTGTAATTTAATTTTTAGGCAATGTTGGTGTTATCGCGAAAGTGTTAATGCTCGATATAGGGGACTTTTAAGAAAAGTTACTATGTTACATAACTTATGAATGCGATCAGACCATGTAAAATTTAAACAAGGTGGTCCGACAACCTGGAGAAGGTCGCGGAAAGCTGTTGCAAGCGGGCAGCAAGGGACTGGTTTTTGTGGCGACGCTTGGGGCATTCCTATGTCCAGCAGTGGACGTCTTTCAGCTGAAACGATTTGCAACAGTTTTTTTTTTATCTCAGTTAAAAGCAAAATCCATTCGTTTGAATATCTCTTCATCTAAGATTTATTTCCAGGGAAGATGTTAAACACCAATAATAAATATTACAAATAATAAATATTTGTGATTATTTGTATTACCTAACTAGACTCATAAAAAGTGAGGATGGGTTTCTTTCTATAGAAAAGAATGACGTTTGTATTAGTTTTGTTGTTTTAAAGAAGATTGAGCTGCGACCCTTGGTGTTATCCGTGGTTTGTCAGATACACTAAAACGTGTATTATTTAACCGGACACATATTGAAATAGATACACATTCATTTTTTTAAATAAAAAGGAACCTATATGTTAATCCAGGATGTCAGTTACCTCCATCCCAAATTTTATCAAAATTGATCATGGCTTTTGAGCGTGAAGAAGCAACAAACATACAAACACACAGAGTTACATTTGTTTTTCTCTACAATAGAATAGATAGAATACGATAGAATAGAATCTGATAAACACTACGTAGGATACTTTGGTAAATGTGATTACAAAGATAGAAAATCAACATATACCTTAAAGTATTTAGTTTTGTGTACAAAATTAACTTTTTTTGAGTTTTTTCAAATTACTTATAATTGCAAGTCTTAGTTAAAAGCAAGTTTGCAGAAAGTTGTTACAGTTTTGCAGAAAGTTTATTTCATTTTAAGTCCAAAACTAAGCCATAGATGTCGCTGCCAGACCGAATCGTTTTTTTCATTTGCTTCATTTATAGTTTAACTCCGAGTCCGCAGTATAAAGTTATCTGTGGTCCGCTCAGTAGGATTAGTGTTCTGTGCTCTGTGCTGCTGCAGCTGAGTCGAGCTGTGTGTGATTGTGTGTTTTCATTGTAGAATAATAATTTAATTAAATGTTAATAGCGTTAAAGTGATAATAAATACATATATAAGTGTAAATCGATTGGCCTGCTTTATAATAGTGCCCACTGATCAACTAAAGGTACGTTTAAAAGGGAAATATTTGAACCGTATAAATTTTGTTTATTTATAACTAAATTTTCAAACAATATTCACGATTCACATTAGCCAATACCATGCAAAGTGTGTTAACTTAATAAAGTAATTAGAGTATCTGTATTTTTATGCTCGGTTAGTCAATTTTGACTCATAAGAGAGCAAGGTTAAGAGTAAAATACAAAACGATAATATTTATAGTTTATTGTCGATTGCTCATGTGATTAAATTTGTTAACTTCTCAGGTTAATCACGGGCAATTAGTGACACAGTCAACTGGAATTTGAAATCACTGATAACTTAATTGTTCAATTTCGGAAGTTAAAAGCTTGTCAATTAGGAAACTTATTCAACAACAGACACGAATGTTTTGTCGAAAATTACTAGACGTTATATAGACAGGACGGGTTTCCGCAGCTCTATTGTGCAAGCATTGGTTTTCTAATTTGTGATTCCAATGGTGTTGGAGGCTACATTAATATTAATTATGATTATTACAACACTAACTTATGTTGTGTTTTATAATCGCACTGATATTCTGATACGACAGTTTAAAGTTACGACGCATTGTCTCGTTCGCCTTGAACTTTTTCAGGGTTTTTTTTTAATATTTAAAAAGTTGCTTCAGTATCTATGAGTGTATTCGATTTTTTTTTGTGTACATGTACAGATTTAAATTAGGAAGTTAAAAGAATTCCTGTGTGTGTAAGAACTTTTAGTTTTTAGAAATAATTGAAAAGAGGTTCTGAAACTGACAGGCTTTCCTCACCTTTGCTTTGTTGATCTTTGATTGACATTTTTAATGTATTTTTTTCTTCCTAATTACTGCAAGGTCTTAATAATTTTCCATAAGCTGACCTGTTTTAATTAATAAATATTAATATGTTTATTAGAAGACAAACATCCTTGTAATAAATATTAACAAAAAGGTCATAAACAATATTATTCTTTATATTTACTTCCAGAATTATGTAATATACTCTTTCATTGCCACAATAAAGGTAAATCAAATTGTTTCTAATATGTTGATCAAATGGTTTAGGTTGTGGTTTTACAGAGGACAAACATACATACTAACACACATCATACTGACTGCCCGAGGGCCTGGCTGTTTTGAGATATCAAGTTCAAATCTCAGGTCGTATCAAATGTTTGTATGATCTGAATCCGTCAGATTTCAGAAAAACTATAATTATTATACACTAGCTGACCCGCGCAACTTCGTCTGCATCTCTCAATAGTAATACATTTTCTCCGTTTTTGAAACATTCTTCATTGGTGCTCCGCTCCTATTGGTCTTAGCGTGATGATATATAGCCTATAGCCTTCCTCGATAAATGGGCTATCTAACACTGAAAGAATTTTTCAAATCGGACCAGTAGTTCCTGAGATTAGCGCGTTCAAACAAACAAACAAACAAACTCTTCAGCTTTATAATATTAGTATAGATACACACTCAATTGTCCGTGTAGTGATGGATTAAGAATACGGAATGTCACTACCCAAATTCATCCCGTGGGTATCGTAAGAGCCGACAAAGGGCGCAAAACAACGCAGGACACCAGCACTGCAAAAAGAAGGAAAACTTGACACAAACCCTTTTTTTTTTTTTTTTTTTTTTTTTTTTTTTAACGTGTGGAAATCCCCTCGGACCGTCACCCCTCCGGGGTTTGCGGCGGGGTGGTGTGTCGGACTCGGACCGACTAAAACCACACGGTGTGCCACTCTGCGCCTGTAACAGGAGGGATCCGGGAACAGCTGTTGTTAAGACATCCGGACCCCTCCTAGCGCCAGCCCGCTCCTGGTGCGGGCTCCGTCTCGATATTTTCCTCTCTTTTTATAGGCGACGTCCGGCACACGCGGACGCCGCCCCCTCGCGGCTGGCCAAACTAATGCGGGTGGAGGGGAAACCCACCCCGTCCACCCGCGGCCACACTCAGGGCGGCATGAGGCTGTGGTAGGCGGGCCTCCGCCGCCCGGTTCGCCGGCGGCGGATCGGGTCCGAGTGGAGGTCGTCCTCCCGGGCCCTCTCCGCCGCCTCCTTCCGCGAGATTACTACCTCGCAGAAGGTTGCGACCGCGGTAAAACAACTGTCGCTACCGGCCATGGAGCGTACTACGGCCGGTAGCGAGAGATCCACTCCGATGACTGCAGTGAGGGCCCGGCGCTGCGCCGCCCATGCGGGGCAGACTGCCAGCGTGTGCTGGGCCGAGTCCTCACTGCAGTCGCAGTGGTGGCAGGCGGGACTCAGTTCCCTCCTAGCGACCGTGTGCAGGTACTTTCCGAAGCAACCGTGCCCGGAAAGCACCTGCGTCAGCCGGAAGGAAAGGGTCCCGTGCTGCCGCCCTGCCCACTCGGCGATGACCGGCTGGAGAGCCTCCACGGCGGCGAAGCCAGCGCGTGGAGTCTCCAGCCGGAACGACCAACGAGCCATCGTGGCTCGGCGAGCGGCTTCGCGCCACTCGCGCACATCCTCGGGCGGAGGGCGAAATCCGCTCTCCGCCCGGTAGTCAGCCACTCGCCGATAAACTTCGGCGAGCACTTCCGCCTCCAAATCCCACGGGGGAGTTCCGGCCAACGCGCACGCCACCTCCGTCGAAACGGTGCGGTAACCGCGTATGGCTCTGACCGCCATTACCCTCTGAGGGCGCCAGAGGCGTACCCTATTCTGGGCGGTCAGAGCCGCCGCCCACACCGGTGCACCGTACAGTGCCATTGACCGGACAACCCCCGTGTACAGCCGTCTTGTCGCGACGCTGGGTCCACCCATATTGGGCAAAAGTCGCCCTAGGGCAGACGCAGCGCCGACCAGCTTTGGAGCAAGCTGTCGGAAGTGCTCGTCGAAGAGCCACCTCCCGTCGAGGATCAGGCCCAGATATTTCATCTGGGCCCGAACCGGTACGAGGACCGAGTTGACCACTATTGAGGCGCCAGGGGGTGGACCACGA